AATAAATAAAAAAACTAAAATAAATTTAGTGGGATTTTTAAGGCAACCTTGGAATACAAGTAAACCAAACCGATTTTTATAAAAAGAAAGTTTTGACATTTTATTACATCAAATACATATTTCCCCAATAAAACATGACAATTTTTGACAGCATGTTAATTTGACAATACTCATATTAATTATTATTGCAAATTAATGTTTTAGAATAGTATCCCTTCCCTGAGGAAGAATCTGTACTAAAGTATTCGAAACGCTTTGGATATAGGCTGAATGCACTTGTAGTTTCCTTAACTGAGGTTGCAGGATGGAAATCGGCTTCAAGAGATACCATTTATTTTCCAAGGCAATAATATGAGTATTGTCAAATTAACATGCTGTCAAGAAATGCCGTGTTTTATTGGGGAAATATGTATTTAATGTAATAAAATGTCAAAACGTTTTTACAAAAATCTGTTTGGTTTACTTGTATTCCAACGTTGCCTTAAAAATCCCACTAAATGTAAGGTATAAATTGTTCAATTGTACAAATAATTTTATTATTTGTTCCCTTTTGGAGTATTAAACTAATAAAAGCATTTTTGTGATATTTGTTTGATGAATGCAAAAATGTCTCTTGATTTTGCCAGAAATCTTGAGCGCTGCTAGATTCCTGTGTTTTTTGAGTTGGCATTTTTCTCAGCTATCTCTGGACTACAAAACTCCTTCCCTTATGGATAAAATGAGAGGGGGAGATGTTCTGTATTCCTAAACACTTCCTGACGTACGGTTAAAACACTGCTCCTCCATCTACAGTACCTTTTGAGTGAGCATCTGCACCTAGGGTAGGAAGGGTGTTATTAGCAGGATGACCAGGTGGCAATAAAGGATGGGGGTCTTAAAACAGAAAAAAAAAGTAAAATAAATCCATCCGCATCATATTACAACATTTAAAAAGGAAGTTCAGTCCTCTTAATGATAGAATCATTCCATCCTTTGCACAAAGCAAAGGTCTTGCAAAAGCACTGCTCAGTTCAACAGCATGATGTCAGCACAGGCTCCACCCCAACATGTTTTGTCCCAGAAGATGTACTCAAGAGGCTGGAAAAGGTCTTGAACCTCCGTAACTGCACTGTTGTCTTGCATGTGTACAGTAGTGCCAAAGGTGTGTGCCAGGTCTCAGAGGCTGGCAAGGGCCCTTCACCCCCATGTCATTCTCACCCCATCCCAAAAAGCAGTAAAATGACTACATAAAATGCACAATTTTAGGAAGGGGGCTGGAGCCAGGTACACAGCTGCACACATTCTTTTTTGAGGTGAATGTCCGCATTAAGGACTGATAAGTATGTCTATGTATTTTTTTTTTTTTTGGGGGGGGGGGGGTCTGCACTTTAAAATGGACACATCATTCATTAACCTTCATAACTTTTAGTAGTTCACATTGCTTAATCAATACTAGGAAACAGAACCAAAGGCTTCGACTAGTGGAAGATCTGTCCAAAATGAAATGAAACCTGGTCTCTGTTGTCAGGAGTCAGAACAATTTCATGAGTCACTGGCAAATTTTCCGACTCTTGTACAATAAGACAAATGTCAGACTGGAAGCGTTACCTTGAATGCAGTCTATAATCAAAAGAAAATGCATGAATACGTAAAAAATCTCAATATAGCTCAATATAGACATTCGAGCAAAGCAGCAAGCCGGTCATTGAAGACCCAGTGAGATTGGTCTCTGTACCCATTATCTTCACATTGCCACATCTGAATTTTTGTTAATTTCATGAAACTATGGAGGCTGCAGATTGACATGTAGTGGTGCAGAGCTGTTTTTTTCTTCCTATCTGTATTTAACAGCATGTAACTACCCTGTTTTCTAATATACAGTTTGTCACCAACCACAAAATGAAAGCCATTTCTGTCAGGTAGCAAAGAAAAATGTCCTTAAATTCCACCCGCTCCCCAGGCTGCTAATAAAAGAGAAGACTCTCATCAAGAAGTCTTTAAAACAATAACAAATAACTGCTGTGTTCTTTATGGGCATTATTAATTTATACATTTTTTTTTCATTGCCGCTCTTAATTGAGCAATTAGCAGTCATGAATAGAGGGAGAAAGCCTTGTACAAGTCCTTGCTTTGAAGATAAGGGAGGCGCAGAGACTCTTCCTGTCTGGATCGTCAGAGCAGCCCTGTTCTAGAGGGGGGGGGGAGCGCAGGAATTCACACAGGTGTTCTCGGAGTCCCCGCGCCGGGAACTGAATACCACGACGTGCCGACGAGGAAATTTCATCCACCTGGGATCCAGGGACTTAGTCTTGGATTGCAAACGTTTGATCAAATTTCATTTCCTAAGTTTATCTGTAAGAATGTCTATTTGTTCTGAGTCTGTGGTGGAAAAAAAGGGGGGAAGGCCTGGCATTGCCACAAAGGCCCTAATTGTTTGTTGCGGATTTTGCAGGGAACAAATTACTGATTCTGTAAGCTTGGTCATGGCTTTGGAGTGGATATTATAATTCATCTGCTAGTGAACTACAGGTTATAGCACGATTGTTAAGGCTTATAATTCCATAGGCACTCTTTTGCCCATTGTTTTAGATTGCCAGCAATTTGGGTTAGGCCCTTACACCTCCTGTTCATTGTTTTTGTTGTAACATTAGGCCTGTGTTTGGCAATGAACAATAATTCCTGTAGTACAGATGTCACATCTTTCGACATAAGCATTTAGAGATGACTATTTTTTAGTGTAACAAAAATTCTAGTGGGATCATTAGTGAAAGACATAGACTCATACATGGCAAAGAGTCTGTTGTTTCCAGTCTTCTCCAAGGACACCTCTTGGTGGTTTGATTTGAGTTGCCAAAGTTTACAGGTTGTTTCCCTCAACGTTTTCAGTTAGAAAACTGATGGACAAGCAATTCAAATAATTGTGAGGCAAGAATTGAGCCTAATAAAACCTAGAGATAGAATTAGTTATAGCACAGAAGGTCAAGACAGACAGAAAAAGATGAGGAGCCAGAGAACAGTCCAGGGTCATAGATAGAAAAGAAGTCTGGATTCACAAGGTAGGTTACCAGAAAGCTTGGATAGACCGGTTGCAAACATTTGCTCTAGAAAGGACATTGTCCTGATCAGAATTTTATGTACCGCATGGTGATGTCAAGGATGGGCTAAAGAGTGCCTATGCTACTCATTTTATCAAGCAGATGGTGAGGGATGTATGTATAGCAACCATTACCTTGAGTGGAGAGATGCATGGGAGCTGGGTCTCTGGAAGGAGCAACAGATTCTTCTCATGGAAATTGATGACAGCCCCCAGGTCATCACCAAACATTATCTCAATAGTGGACTAAGGCTCAATCATTTTAGGGAGACAGGATATTGGTATTTTGAGTCTCTCACTTTAAAAAATAAATACAAGTTCCATGTGATAGTGTTTATATTCACCTGTTCCACCACATGTTCCTGTTCAAGTGCTATGGCCCCCTGAGGAAATCTTCCATAGAACCATCGTGCACAGTACAGAATCAGGTATCTATTTGCCGTCTTTAACTCCCTACCATACTCAGTAGTGATGTAGGGGTGGCAAATTGAAACAGAGCCCATGGTAGATGCAGATATACCACCATAAATGTCAGATGTGAAGATTCTTCACGAGTCCATAGCCATAGGAACATTTGGTGGGATAGGGGAGTATAAACTGTCTTCTGCCATTTTAATTATTGAAAAAGCAAAAGAGGTTCTCTTAAAGCAGGAGGATTAGTTATATATAGTAGCCGGCCTCCCAACTTCAGAAACAAACAAAATGCTTTCTTAGATGTCTAAACAACCCAGCTGTTGGAAACTATAGAAAAGATTTCCTTTTTTCTGAAGAAGTTCTTACATTGATTTATACCAAATTCCATCCCAGAACGGAGAGCATAAAAATCAAAGTGGCGTTAAAGCGGTTATCTCTGTGACATTCACACAGCATAAACCAGCAGCTGACTGAAGTGTAAATAGATTATAACACTGTATTATCAAATTACACTCATTCAACACCAGAACAGTCCCAAAAGGACATCAATAATTAAATTATTAAAAGATATGCACATTACTTTCTACCATAACTCATTGTGAAATACCTCAATTCCCTTGGCTTTTGCAAAGAGAACAAATGGGAAAGTTCATCTTCCATATTGTTTACAGTAATATTTCACACCATCCTCCATTGCTGATAATGGAAGACTCACAGCTTATTAAGTAAGTGTTCTTCATGGTCAGTATAAGTGTATGTGGGTGCAATTTACATCACCCTTTGTTCCGTTGTTAAGGAGAAACTACAGTTTGTTTTATTTTTTTTTTACTTTGTTTTTATTTGTTTAACTTAAATAATGGCCGACATCCTGTCTTCACATCCTACCTAGTTTTTTTTAGGGCCATCCTTGTCCATATTGTCTGAAAATGATTCTATACACTTCTGGCTAAGTGATGTTCAGCATTACTCAGCCTCTTTGGCATGCTGTCTGTCGCGAACATTACTCGTTGTTCTCAAGCCTTCAAGGGTGAAATAATGACATTGTTTGAGTTCTTCAGGGTTTCTAGTATCAGAATTTTGAGTAGTTTGTAGAACACACTTTGTAGAAGGTTTTTTGACTTTTTGGTTTGAATTAAAGGGACCTTAGCTCAGCCATTTTCCTTTCCTGGTACATACGTTTTTATTCTTTGTTGTGGCTTTTTTTTAGTGGGGTTGGTCATGCACTGGGTGGACTAAGTCCTTCATCGTGGTCTGTGCTTGTCTGGCTAGGCCAAATTGTTGCCGTTATTGATTTGGCCAAAGGTGGCCCATGATCATTACAGCATAGGCACAGTAAACATACACTTCTGGTTTCAGCCCTTGCCCACATGAAACAGCTGTCTGTAGACTTAGCCTTTTTCCAATCTAATTGTTGGCTGAAATCGAATCTGACCAGTGTATGACCACCAAGTTATTGTTGGGAGCTATACTTCATTTTTATGCTCATGGAGATTATTTCTGTTAAGGAACTGTTAGACCTGGGGTGTCAAACTGGTGGCACTCCAGCTGTTGCAAAACTACAAGTCCCATCATGCCTCTGCCCTTGGAAGGCATGCTTGTAACTGTCAATCTTGCAATGCCCAATGGGGCTTGTAGTTTGGCAACAGCTGGAGGGCCGCCAGTTTGACACCCGTGCGTTAGGCACTAGAGCACGTGCCATGGACTCTAATACTGGTCATACATGGATAGAAATTATGCTGTACCTGCCAAATTTCAATCTATGTATAGGCACCCAAGTCAATCTGTGGATCGACCTGTGTACAACCGGCTATAGCTGGGAGCATTAATTATGGTGTTCTGCGGGCAGGGAAAGCTATGGGAGGGATTCCCCCATCAACACTGTGTTGATGCGGTAAGCAAACCGTTTTCTTTCCTTCCACCCGTGGGGGAAAGGTAGAAGTGTGCATAATCTATGGCTTACCTTAGATCCTTACTATGACATCGCACGGTGTGCGGATTAAAAAACAAGACCCTTGAAATAGTTGCCGCGTTTCTTGTGTTTTTATTTTTATTTTTTTCCCCCTCTCTCTCCAGTCATATGTTGTAAGCAAAGCATTTAACAGAGCACTTTCCACAGCAGTGCGTGTCTCTGCTGCACTCCTGTAATAGATAGCCCACAATTTCGTGCTGTTTATCTTTACGTATGCAATGCTAAGTTGCTCTTGGCAGTCGAACAAATAGAATATATAATGCTATTACAGGTTCGCTGTTTCTAGCCTGAAACCAGCAGAAACTATTAAGCTGAGATATTTTATAGCTGTTGATAGCTTCCTTTGATTAGGAATTTATTCCCTTTTTGCTGGATCGACTGTAAATAATGCACCTGCTTGGTGGAAACATATGGTAATAAATAAGAAGTTGGTGATTTAAACTCCTTTTGGTCTTTTGCACAGACTTCCTGCACATTTTTATTTCCCGCTTCACTGAGCAGTAGGGAGTCTTGGGAGTCAGGAGGGGGTGGGGCAAAGCTTAACTTTTACAGGAAAGGTCAAGATTTACATAGAGTTTTAGCTACTTGTATCGCTTGAGCTGCTAATTGTTTTGACATGCAGTTTTTACTAAAGGTAGTGTGTAGTCATGCGCTTTCTCATCATATGCTCAGTTCACTATGTCTGTGACATGCTTGCTTTAAGAGACTCTCTAATCCTGTCTTCTTCCATACTGTTTGCCCTGTACTTTCGGAAGTGCCAGCAGACTTTTCAGGAAAAAAAGGGAGGACTTAGGCTGGCCATACACTATACAATTTTCTTGAGATTTTTGCTTTAGAGTTACCAAAAACCCTATAATAGGAGGTCAAACCTAAATGACACTTTCAATTGTATCCAAGTAGTCAGGCCCTTGTACTACATAGTTGAAGGTAAATCTAAAGGAAATTGGGCAGAAATTGCACAGAAAATTGTATAATGTATGGCCAGCCTTATGCAGGCCATAGACGTGGAGAAAACCGGCCTTTTTTTTTGGCGAAAAAAAAAACAATTGGCCAATTTTCAGATCATTAGTGGGGTAATCCATCGGCCGATTTATCGTGATTTTGACACTTTTTTTTTGTCGATCATATTGGAAAAAAAATTTGCCAATTTTGTCATTCGGCCAATTTTCACGGCAATGTTGGACAAGTCGGCCGATTTTTTTTACCGATTGAAAAAAATGCGCATGAGCAGTGACCGGTAAGAAGGAGGAAAAGAAAAAAAGAAATAGAATATGAATAAGAAGAAGAAAAAGAAATAGAATATGAATAAGGAGAAGAAATAGAATATGAATAAGGAGAAGAAATAGAATATGAATAAGGAGAAGAAAGAAGAAATAGCATATGAATAAGAAGAAGAAATAGAATATGAATAAGGGAGAAGAAAAAGAAGAAATAGAATATAAATAAGGAGAAGAAAGAAGAAATAGCATATGAAGAAGAAATAGAATATGAAGAAAAAAAGAAAAAAAAAAAGAATTGCAGCCCTATATTATATTTGACATTTAAAAGTATAGCAACACTGTATCTATTTGTATCCGAATAGAAACATCTGTATCCGAAATAGATACAAATAGATACAATGTTGCAACTTTTTCTTCTTATTCATATTCTATTTCTTTTCCTTATTCATATTCTATTTCTTCTGTCAAATATAATAGCAGAGCTCTCTGCAGGGACACCGCTATTATATTTGCCTGCCGTAGACGGGACGAAAATCAACCGACTTTTTTTTATCAATGGTGGTAATGTCGGCCGACTGAACGATTTTTCGTTTTTCTAAATAATAAAAAAAAAACCGTACGGTTTTCTCCCAGTCTATGGCCTGCATTTTACTGATGTTCTAAGACACAGGTGTCAAACTGGCGGCCCTCCAGCTGTTGCCAAACTACAAGTCCCATGAGGCATTGCAAGGTTGACAGTTACAGGCATGATTACCAAAGGCAGAGGCATGATGGGACTTGTTGTTTCGCAACAGCTGGAGGGCCGCCAGTTTGACACCCCTGTAAGATATTAAATTGAAGTTGAGTAATGGTAACATTTGTCCACAGCCTAGACTCCTTAGATGAGCCTAAAGGGAAACGTCACCTGACCAAGGTAAAACTAAATTCTATCCCCCTAAAATGTGTCCTTGTAAAGCACTACCATTTTTTTTTTTTTTTTTTTTTTAACAAGTAAAAGGAACAATATTTCATAGGTGAAGGTCGTTTATAAAGAGACTGTCAATTTGCCCATTTAGGGCAAAGAAACACATTGTATGAACAAACCCCCCTCCACTTCCACTGTTAGAACTCCTCGCCTTTCCCTGGATTCACCAATGTTGGAATGGTGGTGCTGTGTGTGAGCGACCACCTGTGGTTAGAGTGCAATGGGGCAGCTGCTTTTATTGGACCTGTGCAAGACCTACAAGACCGCAGCTTTTACTGTAGTAGCATCAGCTGCAACAGTGATTTCCCGCTTCCCCAGCTGACACTCAATTATGAGATTTGCATATTAAGCTGGACCAATACAAGTATTTAATGCAAATAGTTCCTAGAGTTCAGCTTTTAAGTGTAAAATGATCCAATGACTTTTGCTTGTGTCTATGGCAAGGGAGAGTTAAATCCCAACTTCAGACACAAAAAAAAAAAAAATCCCTCCCGTTTCACCAGAACACTGCAAGGCCTAAATGCTCATCAAGTCTAGTGGATGAGTAATACGGATAATCGTGTAATCCTTCCCTCGCTCCTTACTGCAGCGGGCTTCCTCCATTCATGCGACCGTTCTTCCACAACCTCCTTGCCAAGGCCAAAACAGTTGTTTCTTTTATTTATTAGGCCTTATTCACATGGGTGTTCAAGTCCGTATGCCTGTGCAAAGAGCCGTCTCCAGCTGTCCAGGATGCACAGGTGTACTCTGCAGGGGCAAATCAGTGACAGGCAGCCAGCTACACAGACCTCAATGCTCATCCCAGAGTGTACAGCCGCGCCGGTCTAATGTACAGATCAGAATCTCTGTGTTCAGGTCCGTGTAGCCATCCGCCTGTCTTTGATTTCAACAGACTGCCTTGTAGGCCCCTGCCCAGAAGACCTTTGCATCCTGGGTAGCTAAAGATGGTCCTTTGCACAGGCTTACAGATCAGTATGTCCATGAATGAGGCCTTGTGAAGTGATGACCATATAATTAGATGTGTATATTGTAATACATATAACAGCTGACACTACACTGATATGGAAGTTAGAATCTGGTTGCTGTAGATAACAAACTTATTCTAGAAAAGTTTGACTGGAATGTGGTTGCTTTGGGCAACTGAGACTTTTTTTCTTTTGAATAACTCATGTGCCTTCATAGAATGAAGGCCTTTATTCTTTACTGAGTGATGTCAGAGAGAGGGGGTTGTAATAGACTGTTTAAACAAAGGTGTCTCTTTGAACGGTCATACGTGGTTGGTATTTGATAATGCAAGACACCTAGATTACAGATCCTGATACCAATTTGACATGTAGAAGTTTTAGATAAATAAATGGAAAAAAAAGACTTCGCCCTCAAGGCAACAATCCAGTTAAACACTGCCAGTCACGTCCGCCGTTCCAGCGTGCCCCCACCAAGCCTTGTATTTGGCAGTTCTTGGAATAGACAAGCCTCCACAAGGCCCGGTAGCTTTGTGACTCACTGTCAGAGGTTGCTTCAACAAACTGCTCATAATATTCCAGAGAAAGTTATTCGAATAATCATATATGCTACGACAGATGGAAGGCCAAAGGTGACTGTGCCGCTAACATTCCGACAGTTTGTAGCAGGGTACGCGATGCTCATAGTTTGTCTGTCATCTGCACGGTAAACAGCCCTTTTGTAGGCTTTCAGCACATTAATGTTTGAACCCAAGGTGCAGAACTCTACTCATCAAGAGTTGGGGAAGCTTGCATAGATTCAGGATTTACCTGAGCATGCAGCATTTTTTAAATCTCAACTTGTAAACACCAGTCTAAAGAGAATCAGATTTGGCAAGTGTTGGAAAAGCATCAATCATCTTCCTTGAAGCTTGCTAGGCACCCTTCGGTTTCACACATGCTGGATAAGGAACCTAAAGCTGAATACCAGGAAGACTGCTAATGCAAAATTTAAATACATTTTGTAGCTGTAACCTATTTTAACTACTTAAGGGTGTGCCTTTTTTTACAGTCAGTCCTGTGATTTACATAGCCCTGCTAGATAGAATCATCATATCAGGGACCTTTTTTTCCCTCCTATGGCAGGTAACCAATACATCTTGGTCATCAACCTACCCCCAGTCTGCTGATTGACCAATGAGGGAGCATCAACATGCTGACCAGGTCACCACACAGTGCAATGCTCAAATGTTTTCCATATATTTTTCAGTTTCTTTTTAATGTGAAAAGTGCTGGAGTTGTGAAAAGCATTTTGCAGGCTACAGTATGTATTGAGCAAGCTCTTGGGGACAGTTAGGTTGAGCTTTGTAGATTGAATGACTATAAAAATCCAGCAAAAGATAATGTTGCTTAGACTAGAGTCTAGAGGCACAGACTAAAAAAAAAAAAAAAAAAAAGTAAAAATATCTGTGTTTCACCTATCAGACAACAATGAGTTAAATAAGATGTGATATACTAATTAAAGGGACTATGTCAGACTGTGGTCAGCTAGACCCTTTTTTCCCATGCAGGAGAAAAGCATCTGGTTTGAATGAATGTCCACAGCACAGGATCACTTCAAAGTCCTACCCTGGGATCGTGCCAGAAAATCATTTGTAGAACCAACCACCCCCATCCCACTTGCATATACATGATGTATTGCTTAATTAGTCTATAATATTTATTATAGAAAAATACTTTCACTGTGACCTTGTGCCAACCAGCTCTTCAGTATTCTTCATGTTGGTGAAAGTATGTCCATATAACTAGTGAAGAGAAGTGCCTTTGGAGAACTGGTCATCCATGAGGGAGGAAGACTTATGAACAATAATAGAGTAAGGGTAAGAACTCTACTGTATCCCTCCAGGCTAAATGATCAGTATATCCGGTATATGGTGGTCGGGAAGGGTTACCACTGCATGGATTATGCTTTAAGCATCTGATGCTTGCTGGCTGGGGGACTGTGGGCAAGCTGTGATTTTGCTGCCCTCTTGGGTAATGGAGGCATGAGAAGAGTGCTCAGAACGTCCGTGTATACGCCACAGATTATGGTAATGTAAATGATGGATTCTCAAAGTCAGATTCCGTAAACCTTAGAAACCAATCAGCAATCATCGTTAATTGTTCTAACTACAGTTGACTGATGAAAACTGAAATCATGGCTCTTTGAACTGCCATTTCTTATGGCATAAGTGCTTGTTAGAATTTTTATACACCTAGCATTTCAAAACATTTCCTGAGACTTTCTTAAGCCATGGTGTGTCCAACATAGAAAATACCTTTGTCAACAGTTTCCATTTGCTTCAATAAGTGATTATCAGCCTTCTGCTATAGCCTGTGCATAATCTTTTAAAGCTAAGGAGCGTTATAATTAACCATTTCTGTATAAAATAGTGTAGATCCAATTAGTTTAATGTGAAAAGATTAAAATGATGCTCTCTGTTTGTAATCCTTTTTGCGGTTTAAGATGGCACAAATCTCATTTAGAAATAAATAAGCTCTCCCAGTTCTGTCTAGTGACATAAACAGAATTAAAATGAATTTTGAAATGAGTCAGTTTGGCCGGAGAAAGTCATTACTTTAGTGCCTTGAGGTTTTTAGGGTGGATATTGTGATTTTCCTAACAATATGTATGACAAAAGGTTTAATTGGTTATTGGGTCATATGGTGGTCTCGCTCTCTCCTGACTCTTCCCTCCAAGGACCAGTTCTATTCAGGCAAAGTGGTTTGTAAGGAATTAACTACAGTTTTTCTATTGACTAAACTCCCATCATTTCCTGCATACTAGATAAAGTGTCTGACCAGGCTCAAAGTGGGAGTGCTTAGCCCAGATGCTGGAAATGAGGAACTAACAGCCAGGAAAAGAGGTGGCTTTCGCAAGCTAAAATCACATCATATATCATGCATTTTTGCATTCATGGAGTAGACATTTTAGAAATGCACAGTTTCATATTCAGACTGTTGTGTATCAGTGGCAGAGTTAGGATTCCTTAGAGAAAAAATTGCAGTCTTTTTCCCCGGATGAGGAACTTTAGAAGTAACTGACGCAACTTTGAATGTAACCCCTTCTACAACCAATTCATTGGGGGCCAGTTGGAAAAATGCCCCTTACATTGGTGACCAGTTGGAAAAATGCACCCCTTACAATGGTGGTTAGGATGCCCTCCTTACAGACATCTAAAAAAATCATTGGTGTTATAACTGGCTCTGTCCTGGAACTATGCAGGCACCATTAAATTGGAGTTCAATTAGTCACAGCTCAAGGAACCCTTGTCAACCTCTGGAGGAACTTGAGGGTTTCAGTGAACCCTGGTTGATAATGGCTGCTGGTGAGTAAAGAGTCAGACTGCCAAGTAATAGCCATAGCACATTGGAGACCCTGAAGGTACCCCAGGTACAAGTGTGAATGGATCTAAAAAGAAACCTGTATAGAGAAGGTGTTGCCATTGCTGGCCTGGCTTTCTGTAAATGCTATTTGTCATGGTAATCCTATGTCTTCTGCACTTTTAGGCAAAGTAACACTTAAGCATTGACTTCTTCAAGTTTTTTGAAGCATTTTTACACATGGTATTCACGCGTTTTCAGATATAAGTGTTTTTGTTTGGGCTAATGAATAGGTTACTAGGAGAAGCAGCCCAAATGTTAGGAGTGAAAATGTGTGAAAAAAGTTTGCTTTTCAGGTGCTCTTATTGAAGTCTAAAGCACAGTTTGGCACCAAGGAAGTGCCTTTACTTCTGAGCGAGACTGTGTTGACATTTGTTGCACCAAATATGTGAATAGGCCCCCTAGAATTAAATTGAAATCTTGTTCTGGAAACGCATGATAAATCGTTTAGATGTGATTGAAGTATACAGAAGTACATGAAAGAAGTGTACAGATCAAGAATTTTGACTTT